TTTGTTTTTAATCTTTATGGATTTGGCAGATCCTAAATGGATATATTACTCTCCAAAACTGGAATATATTGCTTAAACACAGACAAAACATCTGAACTAGCATATATTTACTTGAATTAGCACTTTTACTAGTGCTTTCATCTGTTATAAGCAGATGAAAATGTTAGTAAAAGGGCTAGTTTAAGTTAATATATGCTGGTTCAGGTGTTTCATCTGTGTTTATCTAAATGGGTACGATGATGAATTGGACTTTTCAGAGATTGAAACCCAAATCACTTGCCTTTATGCGGTCCTTACTATATTCAAAAGTAAACAAAATAGCATTAAAAAATGGATTATGATTTTTAAATAATTAAATATGGCAAAAATATAAGTTTGTTTTTTCTAAATACAAAATGAATGCAATGGAATGAATAATTTATAGAAAATTTTGTGAGGTTTGCAAATGTGGTGACTAGATCAAATGACCCTGTTTGTTCTCTTGTGAGAGGGTTTGTTGAAGAAGTGGTTTAACAGAGTGGACCATGATCACTGGTGGTGCAAACATCTGCCAGGTGGTCCTCAGACTAATTTATGTCATTTCTTTAAAATGCAATTCTGTGATGATTAGCCAGAGGAAGAAAAAGCATTTTCATATATCATCTTTTTGTATATTAAGTTACTAGATAGATATTTTTGCACAATCCATAATTATCTAAGGTGTTTTTTACAGAATAAGAAGTGAATGAGGGCTATATGGTCCTCCATTCACCTATGATTCAGTTTAGGTGGTCTCTAGATTGATAACATTGAGAACCACTGGTTTGGCGCACATTTTATTCACACCATTCATGAGGAATTCTTGAGTATCATACCCAAAATGTTGCTTCAGCCATTTAGCCTGTATATGTATATCACTTAAATTCTAATTGATGATGTTACTTATTTTCTGTCATTCAATTAAAGTATGTATTCTCTCTTGTTTAAATGATGCAGGATGTATGAATTAGTAACTTCTGATTGCTTGTCTGTTTACAAGAAGGCACTGATACAGTAATATAAATAAATATCTAATTTTCATTTTGGATTAGATTTTGAAGAGTTTAAATGAGAAGTAGTATCTCTGTTTAGGGGCTGTCCATAAATGACATCCACACTGATAGGGAGGGAAGGGGTTATGACAAGTCGGAGAAGGGAGAGGGTTAAGTATCTATGGATGTCCATTTATTTTATTACATTTTATACAGTTTTTGCATTATATGTTTGATAGATACTACAAATAGAAACAAATCATAAAGTGATAAAGGACCCCCCTCTTAAAACAAGTTTTGTTGGATGTCTGAAGAGAGGAGGGATTTACCGAAAGTTAGAAAACTGGGATGCAAGGGAGAAGGGAAGTAAAAATTTCAAAAAAAAATGCAGATGTAATGTATGGTGACTAGATCAAATGACCCTGTTTGTTCTCTTGTGAGGGGTTTGTTGAAGAAGTGGTTTAACAGAGTGGACCATGATCACTGGTGGTGCAAACATCTGCCCCTTTCTTGTATGTATTAAATTTAGAATTAACAAAATTAACTGTATATTTCTATTAGCATTTTTCAGCAATGTAGATAAATCAAAGCAGTTTATTGCTAAGTTCTACAAATATTGTATTGATGTATTTGTGAACTATAACTTTGAAAGTTGTGTATTTTCATCATGTGCTTAACAAATATCTTATTTATGAAAGTTAAACAAACCCTAACAATTCCAGTTGTGGCCAAACCCTCAGCTGGTAAGCTGGGTAGTTAGGGATGAGGCACAACATATTTGAGACACTGTCTACAATAAAGACCTCAAGTCAGGTGTCTGAAATTAGCAGGAAAAGACATCTTTACTTCACCAGCCATCTTTAAGAGAGTTTAGCTATTTGAATCTATTAAATTGTGAGGCTATTAGTTTTATTAATTATTTATGAAATGTCCAACCACATTAAAATGTTGAATTACTGTGATATTTGCAATTTATTAAATTGTCAAAATTTTTGTTTATCATTCAGATTTTATACATATAAAGCTATATGAATTATCTGAAGAAATGACTATCATTCATTAATTTACTGGAAATATTTTTATTCTTAAAGAAAAATTGATCAGAAATTAATAAATTCAATATTATTTTTTGTTGCTTCATACAGTTTTTTAATTGTTATAAATAAACATAGTACAGTTTATTGTGCTATCTTGAAACTCTTGATACTTGATATCTTGACATTTTTCTATAGTTTGGTTGTTCTAAAGTATTCTATGGGACAAAACCTTGTTAAGTTGATATCATCTATCAATAACCTCGACTTAGTGATAGTTCAAGACCTCTTAGAGAAAACCTTCTTAAATAAATCTCCAGCTCTTAATACAGTATTATGTACCGCACTTTACGATAATGACGTCGCACAACAAGTTTAAACCTGGAGATACATTTGATAAATTGTACATTTTTAACATTTTTAACAATTGTACATAAACAGAACATTTTTAAAACAGGATATTTGCAAAACATGACGTTTACGACAATGTTTGATTTATGAAATGCAGCATTTTCAATGATGATCAAAGCATTCTGATTCTAGAACAGTTGACCTGATGAAGATCCAGACAAGGGATTGATAACATTAATTGTTCTAAAGGTGATAACTTACTGGAAATTTATTTTAGAAGGCTCTCTAAGAGGTTTTGAACTATACTTCCATTCCAGTCTGAGGAATTGTGATTAGATGATTCCATTGTCTCAGCCATTTTACAAATTTTAAAAAGAAAAAGCAAGTTTTTCTGAGAATCTACACTTCTGTTGTGTTAACAATGATTTTATATGGCTTACTTTTCCTTTATATCTTTTCCTCCCACTGCCTCATCCCACAAAAGCTCATGCCACACTGTCATTTCATCCCTTCAACTGGGAAAACCGTAAGGGCACTGTCTATTTACAGTTTTGCGTTTTAAGTGCTTAAAGTTCATTTCATTTATTCACATGTAATAGCAGGCTGTGTACACACATTTGAAGGCTCAACGAAAACTAAAGTCATTAATACTTGCAGCAAAAGTACAAATTTTAAAAAACTGGAAGATTGCCTGAAGCAGTCAGACATATGCAAGATTTATGGAATAGTAATTTATACATGCATAAAACAATTACATTTTTGCAAATTTTCATTAGCCAGGCAATTTCATTAATTGCGCTATTATTTTATGTACTGTATTAAGATAGAAAATCAAATAACACAAAACCATCACAAATAATATATACCTCACTGTATACATTAAAATTCAGAATTTCCCAAGTCTTCACTAGTTCAACAACCCACGTAACTTGGCATGTTGAGTTTTCCCATGAGGTGTCAAACTATCAGTTTCCACTGCATAAACATTGATATTTTTGTAATAGAACTAAAATAAGTATTTAAAATATAAACAAACTTATGAGAAACTTTTAACATTATTAAAATAACTTTTTGTTTTTAATTTTTAAGACTATGATTTCAATTGAAGTTAGATTTTTGATACATTTTTAGCATTTATAATACATATTTTTAATATTTACATTTCGAAACTTCATATGTATATGATATTTTAGGAAGAAGCTTATCCAAATTTTTGAAGTTTCAAGAAGTATGTTTCTTTTTATGTAATTAAAATCAATTTAGGGATGGTAGGCTATGCTCTTCCACAATGCTTTTCATCAGTGTAAAAGTTGTTTGCTTAAGGTTTGTCATGTGAATATGACAATGCCCTTATGACGTCAGACGAATGCAATGCTGACCGTTCAAACAAAATGTTTATTGCCGTCATTAGTTATGCATTTCATAATAAAAGGAGTTAAATTAGATATTATTTCTAAATTTTATTTTGTAAGTTTCAGTTTTAAAGTATTGGCAAATGAAAAAATTAGGTAATAGCTTTTAGGAAATGCATTTTAAGTGTGAATGAAAAACTAATTATGTCACAATGTCGAAAAAACTTTTTAAACCAGATGACTGATTAAAACATTCAAAAATTAGTGTTTTTTAAATAAATCTGCTAGTTTAAAGGATGTGAATTTTTGAGTATCAGTTGTAATAGAAAGTACACTTATTATACTAAGTTATATGATATGAAAGCTTTGTAAGTTATTAGCCTATAGTTTAAGTAATTCTTTATATGTATTAGTTTTCAATAATATGTAGACTTAATATATTTATTGATGCATAAAAATTGTATTAAAGATTTAAAATTACCATATTTATTTGTAATTTAAATTATTTACAATAGTCATTAATCTATTTTATACATTATATAAAACTATAAAATTAATTTACTGTGCAATCACAGTTGAAATATCAATATCTAAATACAAAGGTGGCTCCACGCATTCAGTTTTTGCTGAATTCCAAATAAATATTTGGCTGATACCAAGTAATGTGGATGATATACTCTTGACCATGCACGACAGATATTTGGTATTTGCTATTTCCCACTCCTTGTCAGTATATTGTGCCAAGTGAAAGGGAATGAATTTCTGATAAATGTTCATAATTCCCACAACAAACTGATGTTTGTCAAATAATTATGTGTATGTATGTATCCGCCACACGACAAATGCTTTGCCAAATAATTGCCTTTTGCTACAGAATTTGCTAATCAGCAAATACCAAATATTTGGAGCCACCTTAAGAAAAACAAGACAGTTTAATGAAATCATTACAACTACTAAACGTTATGTAGAACTTTTATAAATTGTATGTAAATGTGATGCCAAGTAATGTTTCTGTGGACTACTTATTATAGCACTTTTAATGATAAAATTAAACTATTATATTTCAGTTAACTTGTTCTCCAAAAGGCAAATTAATAACTGCTAGCTTTATATAGAAGTGTGTTATAATTTAGTTATAAAATAAATTTAATATTTAGGAATATATTATGCACTAATATATTAGTATATTTGTCATAAACTTAATTTGTAAGAATTTGCAATGAATTATGGTGCCTCATTCTTAAAATTTGTAATAATAATTTTATTGTATGTATTACAGGCATTTGCAATGCTTCTGGGGAGCATCTGGTAACTTTTGGCAAAGTCATTGGGAGAAAATAGTGTATCTGTTTGGGAAAGAATATTCTCTTGCTGTTTGGGGTAAAATTTTCTCTCTCTTCTTTCTTTTATGTAATATCCTAAATAAACTTTCGTACTCTCTTTTTAGGTACTTTCATCTCCACATTTTTAGTTTATTGGGGAGCTGGTCTCCTCTACACTTTTATAGATTTAACGGGAAAACCTGCTTTTCTACTTCGTTACAAAATTCAAGATACCACTGCTTATCCAGTAAGTTAAGATTAAATAAATTTAGTTTAAAACCAGAAAATATGCTTGTTTTATTATTAAATAATATATATAGTGGAGCAAAACAGAAGCTTGCAAGTTGCAATTGACTCTTATAGAGCTTTATAGCTGTTCCTGTATAATGGTCCCTCAATACTCTATATTATTTAGAGATAGAAGTCTGACTTTGGTACTGCCCCTCCATATGTATGGTTTATAGGTTATATATATATAAAATGCCATTCTAATGTAGGATACAGTATTTCTGATATGCTGTATATGGCCCCTATTATGAGAAGGTTTGGCAATTGTAAGTTTGCCGACCTCATGGTGGAGATTGGGGACTTAAGATCTCACTTCTGGGACACCACTGTAAGTTCGCTGATTAGGTGGGGTTTTATTCCCTTTCGTCAGGATGGACTAAAGTTTACTTGGGATGTGACTCTGGTTTTAGGAGGCAGAAAAAGACAAGTGTTTCACAAAGAAACCATTTATTTTTTTGAAGATCATGCTTATAAATGATTGACAGGGTCCTAGATGCCGCTATCCTGGTGGTTGGATGTTTCTAGTGGTTTTCTTTTTGTCTCACGGTGTTATAGCCCTGGGGTGATGGTGAGTTAGAGTTCAGAGTAGTAAAGTAACACATGATAGTGATAAGTGGAAGCACCAAGAGAAGAGGGTGACGATCACAACAGGTGTATTCGAGAGGAAATCCTTCATCCTTGATGACGGAGGTTTTATAGTTTCCTCAAGATCAAATTATTTCTAATTGGTCGGGCTTTCCCTTTCCCACTCCCCCATGGTCTCTAGGTGAAAATTGAGACCAGATTAGGTCACGAGAAAGGTCTGCCCGGGATGGTTTATTCAATACCATCCTCTTGACTATTATCACGCTTTGTTAATGTTCCATTCTTTACATTCTCGCTTCGTCTTACCTTATTGCGTCGTAAATTTAAATATTTCCCTTTTTAATTTATCTAAAATTTTGTTTTTTTTCCACTATTCTTTATGAGCGATGATGTCTAAGTCTGATGTCGCCAACTTGACACTTATATAACTTGTTTTCTTGGTGGTTTAACTTAAAAGGGATTTAAAAATGTAAAATTTGTTTTTTTTTTTCCTGGGGCCTCACACAATTTCTGATAGACACATACATATGTATGTATAACTAATTATAGTGAATGTTGTTCATTACTGATATGAATATTTCAGTTCAAATATTTATATCCTGAGTTCTAACACTCATTTACAAATGATTTTTATTTTCCTTGATTATAAAATGACAAAGTAATAAACAAAGGAAAAACATTTATTTCTAACATTAAATGTACTTATAAAACAGTTATATAAATAGGAATTCTAATTAATGTAAGAAAACTTACTAGGATTAGAATATATTTAATACTTGTATAATTATTTAAAATATGAAGAGTTTAAGGTTAATTTACCAGTTTATGATTTTGTTCCATGATTAAAAAAATTGAAGGAGGAAATCATTTTAATAATGTTAATGTCCAGTAAAATATGTTTAAATTTTTAAGGCATGCATTCTCAGTTTCAATATTAAATTAAATGTAACTTCAAAGTTTTACAAAAAAACAAACTTTACAGATTTCAACTAAAAAAATAATTGTAAATTTGCTTTAAATAATAATCTAAAGTTATTCTAAAAACTGTTTGGTATTTTTTAATACTGTATTTTGACGAGTATAAGTCGCTGTCAAGTATAAGATGCACCCCTATTTAGAGACAAAAAATTTTAAAAAAATCTTTTTTAATTGGATTGTCTAAAGATGCATTTTATTCGTTTTTTTATTTAAGAATATGACGGATGGATGAATCGATACCTTTATTAAACTGAAATAATCGTCATTTCTTAATGTAAACCAGAGGTCACGTGATGACAGTCAACAGAATATGACGGCGATGACTCGTGTGTCGCTACTCTAATAATCTAGGTACTCTAGCCATTCGGTTGAGGGACCATCTGCTTAACGGACCCTTCCACAGGTTGGTCCCTAGAGTGGACCACTACTGTAGATAATTTCACTGTAAAAATGGTTACCTGTCGAGTATAAGACGCATCATGATTTTGAGCACCGAAAAGTAGTAAAAAAGTGCGACTTATACTCGTCAAAATACGGTAATTGAAGATGAGAATAAAAATCTTTTAAGCTTTGTATGAATTTATGTATAGGGTTTTCCAAATGCTACTGTTTTAAATTATTGTAACTATGCTAATTATTATCTGAGAACATTTTAAGTATATTTAAAATATTGAAAAACTGTCCAAGTTTTGCATTTTTTCATTAGAATTTTTCAATGTGTGCATCTCACGTAGCACGGCACACATCCAACCAATATTTAAATTTTTCCTACACTTGACACAGTATATCCATTGTCACTCCTCCCATGGCAGCCACAATTCTCTACATTTCCTGCAGATTACCTTTATTGTATGATGAGAGGTTCTGACTTTGTGAACTGCAGAATGCAAGATGCCTTCTCTGTTGCAGAATTGCCATTTTTGTTTACAGCACTTCCTAGAGATAGTAGACGACAAGATGTTTGAATGCAGATGGGAGATGAAACTCAGTTACTCTATCAATTAGTGTGCATTACACACTTCTCATATAATAATTAACATAATTACAGTAATTAAAATGGTAGCATTCATCTTGAAAGATCCAATATATATTATAGAAATGTAACACAAATTTAAAATAATAATTTTTCAAATAATAATAATTCCCAGATTTTATCATCATAGTTTTTATATATAAATTTTATTTTAGGTGAAAGTGTCTCAAGTTTTGCATGTTGTTAAACAAGTATTAATCAATCAAATTCTTGTTGGTATTCCATTTGCTATGGTTGGTTATCATTTGATGAAATGGAGAGGATACGATCAAGGAATTGAATTACCAACATTCCAATGGGTGTTGTTAGAACTGACTATATTTATTTTGATGGAAGAACTTGGATTCTATTACTCCCATAGGTATGTATTTAATATATATATATATTATTATTGTTTATTATATTCAATTATATTTTAATTGAACTTTTTACATTTATAAATACAGGAAATCCTCATTAGTTTGAAATGCAAGGGACAAAATAATTGACTTTAAATTATTAAGTTTTGAATTACCAGAGATTGACATACTTCTGTACAGTATGCCAAAAGCCATGTAACTAATGTAATTTATTAAGCAAACATAATATGGCTACATATACAGAATGCTATTTTTATTAATTAATAATTATTATAAATAATAATGTAAATAAATCTTAGGTAAAGGAGCATGTGTCTGGGAGAATGTCACAGGTTGCCACATAGTTTTTATAAAAAGTAAAATAGAATTCTCAAAATGTAGCCCCGAAAATAGTAAATTGTCAAATATAGTAGCATAGACACTTCCTACAAATATGTTAGTCTGCTACTTGTAGCCCAATCTGACAACCCTGAAACCCAGCCATATTTTATGAGATAAGATAAAAAAGGTAGTTGGTGGGTAGGTGATATCCAAAAATACATTACTGTAAAAGCAAAGCCATGTTGACCAGATTTGAGTTATTCAAAGTCTTTTATTTTCTTCTTATATGGAGACAAGTGAACTTTGATCTAAATGTAAGTTAATATACATCATCACAGTTAGGACAAAATTTTCACTTCAAATTTCAAAGTAGCTGTTTTTCGAACTAACTGAATTCCTTAACACACGAACCTCTAGATCCCTGGCCAGTACAAACAGTACAGTTACAAACTAATGGGATTTTGAACTAACCAAGTTTGAATTAATGAGGATTTCTTGTACTGATGAAACAGCTGGTAAGATTTAAACATATTTGTATGTCAAAAATATCAGGAAAGCAAAAAATTATTATATGGTATAACATATATACTTGAACTGAGAAATAATGTTTTTATATTTATAAGTATTTTCATTAAGATTACGACTAATTCGATTGGCAATTTTTGATGAAATTTCCAATTGAATTATGAATTACATTATCAAATTATTCAATCTAGACTACAGATAAATGTATTAAAGTATTGTCTTTTTGAAATTAACTTGAACTTTTATAACAGTTTTTATAACAATCTCAAAATCATTAGCCATTATAAGTCATGTATATCATTTTAGTAAATACAAGATCATCCAAAATGAATTCCACCATTTTAAATTACTGTAATTATGTAAATTATTATCTGAGAAGTATGCAATGTACGCCAATCAATAAAGTAACCGTCCAAGTTCTACCTCCAATATCAAACATCTTGTTGTCTACTACCTCTGGGAAGCACCATAAATGAAAATGGCAACTCCATAACAGAACACATTTTATGTTCTGCAGTTTGTAAAGTCAGAATCACATGTTATTGTGCAACATGAGTAATCTGCAGGAGCCATAGAATTGTGGCTGCTGTGGAAGGAGTGACAACAGATATGCTGTATTAAGTATAGGAAGAATTTAAATATCAAATGAATGCATGCTATGTAACATGAAGTGCACACATTGAGAAATTGTAATGGGCAAATGTGAAACCTGGTCAGTTTTCCAATGTTTCAATGTATATTACAATGTTCTTAGGTAATAACATAATAACAATAATTGAAAATGGTAGCAATGTGTCTGGGAGACCCTGTATTACAATTGCAACTTGGTATATATTGTCTTCAAATTTATTAGAATTAATAAAGTTGATTCTTTGCAGACACACTAGCAAAAGGTGACATATATCAACACTTGGCAACTTATTGACTATTTATTCAGTTGGACTGAGAAATACTTGAACTGAATAAATAGTCAATAAGTTGCCAAGTGTTGATATATGTCACCTTAGTGTGTCTGCAAAGAATCAGCTTAATAACAACAACACGGTTTCATCAGAATCAAAAAAAAATTAATAAAGTTCTTAAATATTTTATAAGAAAATCATATCATATTCTTTCCAATGATGATTAATCACATTTGGATAATATAATTTAATTTTGGATAATATATTTTACAATTTTGCTATATAAATATAACTCGTATTAATACTTAAATTTTAATTATCATATTTTAATTAGATTATTGCACCATCCGAAAGTATACAAGTATATTCACAAACGGCATCATGAGTGGACTTCACCAATTGCAATCACTGCAGTATACTGTCATCCAGTTGAGCACATTTTTTCGAATTTAGTACCACCATATCTTGGTCCATTACTTATGGGATCACATACTGCAACTTCCTGGCTATGGTTCACAATTGCTATTCTTTCAACTTTGAATGCACATTCCGGATACCATTTTCCATTTTTTCCTTCACCCGAAGCACATGATTTTCATCATTTGAAGTAAGAATTCTCTAATTCGAAACCTGTATAAAAAATTCATTTTATTAAACTTTTAAATTTTTTTTTAAGGTTTAATCAAAATTATGGAATGCTTGGCGTTTTGGACCGGTTACATGGAACCGACACGCAGTTTCGTAACAGCAAAGCGTATCATCGTCACATCATGCTCCTTAGTCTTGTTCCCTTGAAACAGCTGTATCCAGATGATTTAAAACAGAAAACTAAATGATTTGGTTGATTTGTTTTTGTTTTTAATTTTCTATAAAGCAAGTGGCCTTAATTTTGATTTTGCCATTTCTACCATTAAAAGCAGGGCTGTGGAGTCAATAAAAAATCACTCAACTCTGACTTCTGATAATTTTAGTAGGCCGACTCTGATTCCCGACTCTGGCAAAATTAAATACCAAGTCATTTTATGTGGGGGCAATAAGAGGAAAAAGTGGAAGCAATAAAATTCTACATCTACATATCTTTTTCTACAGCTTTTGCACTTCATTTCACCTTTCAGAAAAGTTAGTTCTATTAAAAATTGTTTGATCTAGCTACTTCAGTCCCTTGTTCAGAAAAGAAAAATATATACTGTATATTCTAGTGTATAAGATGACTGGGTGTATAAGACAACCCCTGACTTTTACAGTTAAAATATAGAATTTGGGATATACTCATCAAATAGATCTGAGAGGCAGAGAAGATGTACAGTAATAGGTTACATACAAAGGTGTGCCAGACGGGTGAAAGATGCATGTTTTTCTGGGCACAGCGCCGCTCTATCTCTATCCATACCCCAGGCATCCCAGCCGACTGAAGCACCTGCCCTATAAGATGACACCCGGCATATAAGACGATCCCCGACTTTTGAGAAGATTTTCCTGGGTTAAAAAGTCGTCTTATACGCCGGAATATACGGTACTCTGATAGTCTGGCTCATTCAGAAAAATAGAATACTTATTTAGAGCGGGGATAAGAAAGGAATGAATCAATAATAATCAAATTCAATTGGGTCAAAATAATTTAACTACTAAACACAAATACTACAAAGAAAACTATTGATACATATTTAATAAATTAAATTGTTGCATTTTGTAATTAAAATAAATGAATTATAACAAAATACAAATACATTTTAAAAAAAATTAATAAATATAAAATAAATTTTGTTTCATTTAAATAGAAAAAAACTAAATTAAATTTAAAATGTCAGAGTTGACACATTTTTCCTGACTCCGACTCCTCTGGCCAGAAATTCCTCCCGACTTCGACTCCACAGCCCTGATTAAAAAAAGTATCTAATATTTAAACAGTATTTACTTTGATAAAGTTATCATTCCAATATATAACTCTCAATTATTACCTCATTTCTAATCTAATTTAATAATAATTTCTTAGTTATATACTTGTTGAAAAATGATAACTTTTCCTATTTAAACTTACTATTTTGATTAAACATTTATATTTAAGAGTTGTAGCCAAAACTCTTGAATTTATTCATAATATACATATATATTTTTTTATTGTTATATAAAATTATAAATATTTTTTTGAAGTTTCTTCTAATTTATATGAATGAAATTAAATATTAAAAAAAAAATGTTTAAATCTTGTACAAATAGGAAATTTCACATTTCATTTGATAAAATTAGAAGAGTTGTTCTAGCTCTGCTTGCCTATATATAATGTCGGCAAAAAAAAAAGTTTTAAACGTGCCTGTTTTGGATTTTAATGATGTTTCCATGCTTTAGTCACTATCAGATTTACACCTCGACACTTTTACAATAAACGAAATGCTTATAACTTTGTGAAAATGTCTCTTTAATAGATAATTTCATGACGATGATGATCACCAGTATTAACTTTGCAAAAGATTTTCACAAGATTGTAATTATTGAGAAGAAACAATAATAATTTTTTTTTAATTTTATACAAAAAAATAATCTATTATTTAATGTTAAAGCATGATGTGAAAAAAACAATTATATAACTAGAATGTTAATTGACTAACTGTAAAAAGTTTTATGCACATATTATTTTCTGGTATCTTGTACAATATTTATAAATATATATGTATACAGCTGTGTGTGTCAGTGTATTTATGTTCCTTTATAGACAATAATAATAATAATAATAATGAAAAGAATTTTGTAAATTATCAAGCAGTTTCGATTCTAAACTGTAATTTCTACAGATAAATTAGACATGTAAAGATATAACTCCTGAATTGTACTAATCAATTTGCAAGTATCATAAATGGCTAACAGTAATTCTAGATCTGAAATATCTTCCTTATTATTATAATTCACGACCTGAAAATTTGTCAGGAAAGCCTGCTAACAGGGTATTGTATAAAAAAAAAGGTAAATCTAATAATATATGAATGGATCTCTCATTTCAGTATAAAATATTCACTTGTTTGTTAATATTTAATAACTAGTTTAAAAAACATATATTTTCATTAATTTCAATTATAAATTTTATTTAATATTTATTCAGGAACTTGTATAAAATTATAAAAGTCACTTATTTGTTAAGTTTATTGGATATACAAGGTGAAAATTATAAGGCCAAACATTTTCTTAAAGAATAATTTGAAGGATTGAATGCTTCACATATGTAATTTATGCGTTTTATAAAATTTTCTGTTTTTTAATATATAATTGCATGTAAAAATGTTTAATTTAATCATCCATATCAACTGAATCTTTCAGTTAATTTCTTCTAGTTTTGTTATCTTAATTTGAAGTTTGTTTAATTTAAGAAAAGAAGGAAACAATGGCAAAAGTATGTATCGAATTTTGAAAATATACTTTGATAATTAAGCAGTGTGTTTGTTTTTAATCATATCAATCCAGTTAAGATCCTCTTGAGAATCTGTTTGAGATGATTATAAAGCATTAGTTTTATAATTATCTTGAATATCTAATTTTCTTGACACAAGATTGGAATTTAAAAATGCGGCAAAACACTGCTTTTCTGAACTTCCTTAATTATGAATGTAAACCTGAAAACAGAATTCCCTACTTGTTATTCATCCAATGGAAAGTTTGTAATTATAGATATTAATTTCAGAAAAAAAGAAAATTAAACAGTCATACCTAAATTTTCATTTTAAAACGTGAATCTAATTGTATTAATATTATTTGATGAATTTACATCCTCCTACATATTTATATCAGTGGTGTAGACAGGGAGAGCCAGTGGTTCAAATCCTCACTTTAGGTCAGTGGTTTTCAATCGGGGCACCATGGTACACCGGGGGGACGTTGACGACACTTGGGTACTGCAAAGTAGTGCCAAGCAGCACTATAACACTTCTTAAAAGTACAAAAAGCTCTAACTTTATATTGTTATAGTAGTAGTGCCATAAGAAAAATTACCAAGTCGGAAGTTTCACTATTAAAAACAGGATAGAAAAACACTGCTTTAGGTATTCAAAAACTTATATAAGATAAACATTATTAAAGTATTTATGCATTTACTTGGATGAATTCTTATCGTACATGCCCAATTTATTTCAAAAAAGTAAAATATCACTTACGCAAAAGACTATGCGTAAATACTTTTCAGAGAATTCAAATATTTTGCCCCTACTGAATAAATTCATCTACATCACTGATTTATATATGTAAATTCTGTTGTTAACTTTATTTCAAATAGAATGTAAAATATTGTCATTACTTATACAATATTGGCATTTAGACTAGTTTCTTTGAAAGTAAAAGTTATATTTATTGAAAAGTACAAAGTGTTTACGATGATTTTTGTAAAGAAAGTAAACTTTTCTGCTTGTTGATTTTGTATGAGTAGAAATAGAACTGATGTTTCACGACAATATAATATTTTCTTTATATTTTTTATCATGTTAAGTCTTAACAAATGTTAAAAATTGGAGGATCTTGGATACTTAAATTACTGTTTGTTTTTAAGTACTTAAGATTGATTTTTTTTTTAATTTCAAATCTTGTTGTTGTAATTGCTCACAATAAATTTGTTCCTGAATTTGTATTATTGATAATTAAATAACTCTTACTCACAGTCTGTTTTCAGATATACTCGAAATATATCCATCAGAAATTTATCTCAAACCTATGCTTAGCTGATATATTTAAAGCATCTGTAGTCAGTAACAAGCAGAATAGGTATGTGATGATGAGCCTTATGTATTGTGTTGTTTTCTATAATAACTTTGTAAAAACAGCTTCAGTATTATTTACTGTACACAGTATTCTTTAATAATAAACTTATTCCTTAAAGTTCATCCTTTTTCAAATTTATATATCTATATATGTTTTCATACAAAAATTATATTTTATCAGTCGTTAAAATCAAAGGCCGAAGACCCAGGATTGAATCCAGACAGGTTGAAAAATCCCCAGTACTGGTCCAACCGGATATGTCAGCCCCCGTTTCTCACCACCCGACTGCCCCATTGTGGGCCTGACCAAATCCATAATGGGCTTTCTAATTGAGGCCCTCTTAGTGCCAACAGGGAAGAGAAAAAAAAGTCATGTTAAAATAATATAATTATGATAAATTTTATATTATTATTAACTTTTTATTTAGTGACAAAAAGTATGTAAATTATTTTACTTTTAAAAGCAAGAATAGATTAATGAATTGTTTTTCTGTTCATTTTTGAGACTCTGAGAACTGAAGGCCTTTTTCCATGCCCGTTATGGGATTGGCCAGGCCTACAATGAGGCAGTTGGATGGTAAGAGAAAGGGCTCTATGTATCGGGGAAACCACCCATAAAAATTTCTTTGGGTTCTCCAAAAGGATTTGATCCCAGATTACCTACTGTGGCAGCAAGGTCTATAAACACAAGGTTTGGACACAATACCGGCAGTCACCATATTGAGTCTCTTGATGTGTGTACAGCGTTCTAGAGCAAATCTGGCTGTTTGTTTCTTTCAAACTCAATTAGTTGGATTTCTTGTTATATATATACACTGTATATTTTAAAAATGGTTTGGTGTTTAGCACCGAATTGTTAAAGTGCAACAGTCAAAGGTATTGTTCCATTTTTTCTCTGACAGATCCAGGAGAGATGATTTAAGAGTTAATATAAGTAATGGTTTATTAATGATTATATACAGATGAACCAGATTTATTAGAGAATAATTAATAAATTTTTATCATAAAGAAATTCTGCTTTAAAGATTTTTGTCCCAAGGTGACAGTTTATTGTTTGATAATGTACTCAACTTTCTTAATGTACAGTACGTTAAGAAAAAACATGATCTACTTACATTTAAGAAACTTTTATAACAAATGTTTTTAGGACATTAAACATTGCTTTTTCAGATTTAAAAAATATTTATCGCAGGAACCACATATCATCATAATAAATATTCACTAATTAATTATTAATCAAAAACATTTTAAATATTATTTTCTGGTATCTTGTACAATATTTATAAATATATATGTATACAGCTGTGTGTGTCAGTGTATTTATGTTCCTTTATAGACAATAATAATAATAATAATGAAAAGAATTTTGTAAATTATCAAGCAGTTTCGATTCTAAACTGTAATTTCTACAGATAAATTAGACATGTAAAGATATAACTCCTGAATTGTACTAATCAATTTGCAAGTATCATAAATGGCTAACAGTAATTCTAGATCTGAAATATCTTCCTTATTATTATAATTCACGACCTGAAAATTTGTCAGGAAAGCCTGCTAACAGGGTATTGTATAAAAAAAAAAGGTAAATCTAATANGTGAAATTGAAAGGTTACTAATAGAGATTTCTTTTAAATATTTAATATTGTTAGATGAAAACAAAAATCCAGTATATAAACTGATTTATTTAACTTATTAAACAGAATAACAAACATTAGAATAACAGATTTATTAAACAGAATAAATGTTATAATATGTTGTTTGTGCACTGAAAACACATTTTAAAATAAAATATATAGTAATTGAAATTAAAACTTTCAGTCATTTAAATTAATAATTCATAATAATAATTGAGAGTAATGTAACTGTACAAATTGCATATTCTAATGAATAATTGTTGCTTAATAATAGTTTTATTAAAAAATAAATAAAGTTTAAGTTGATATTTCTATTTGTTGTTGTTGTTTAATAAATTCTTATAAATATACTTAAATTATTTTTATAGAAAATTAAATTTAGTTTATATGCATAACTTCTCTCATTTAGGAACCTTATTATTATCTCTTGCAAACATTCTTGAAGGTTTACTTTATATAATACATAGTTTGTGAGAATGGTTTTCTTTTCTCAATCTAATTTTAATTTATAAAAATGTTTGCTCCGAGCTCCTGTTTGCAAGTTTCTATAGTGCAAAAATGCATTTCAATATAGAAAACTAAATAAGAATTTATTTAGTTTTAAAATGCAAAATTAAAGAAATTTATCCTCATACTTTATTACACGATGCATTGACATAGGTTTCAAAATAAAAAGCTCTTTAGTTAGTCTTTAATTATATGTCAGAGTAACCTCTAAATGAAGATACTCTGAAATTATAAAAGGAATTCCGTGGCTCGAACTCTAAAATTTGCGAATTACTGCACGTACAGTACATAGCATGAAATCTATAAGGTGACCTGGGAACTATAGACACAATATGGCAGCTCCACATGGAACATTGGTTTATTACCTTGTGTTTATAGACCTTGCTGGTAGTGTTAGACTGGTGCTTTCACCAGCTTGCCATCTGCCAATAGGGAAAGTTATATTATTATAACATTATTTTTTGAAGTGGATTAATAAGACTAACAAAACCTTTAGGTTAGAATGAGTTTTTCCTGGTTTATATTCGACTTTAATTTGATAATGAATTAGAATTTAAAAAATAAATCTAAGTTGCTTATCTTTTCCAGCTACATTTTCTGACGCCATCTGTTATGATAATTAATTAAAATATAAAATTGCAAAAAGCTTAATTTTGAGGGTAGGAATGGGTTTTATAAAAAAAAAAATTGTAAATGCTAATAATGAGTAAAATTGTCATTAAGTCGGACTCAAAGGGGGGTCGTGTATATCTTCGGTAATTTCACCGTCCCTTCGACCTTTAATCACCAAAATTTAACAGCATCAATTCCCCTAATACACACACCTCCCTGCAAAATTTCAGAAATTTTCGACAAAAAGCACAGGAGTTATTAAGCTAAGAGGGTGAACAAAATCGTGCTTCCCACACACACACATTAACATTCATACAGAAAATCCTCCATTTCCCTCCCCTCAACGTTTTCAAGAACCCGAGTTCAAAAATGTAAAAATCTGGGATCGTTTTTTCACTGATCGCCATACTTTTACTTTCCCGACTGTTATATTGTCTCCTGTCCTTTCTCTTTGTTATATATAAGCAGCGAACCAACCAGACGACACCGTTTCCGTATCTGTGTTCCAAACCGCAACATCGGTTAACAGCCGTTAGATAAATCACCCCATTCAGTCTCGAAGCATTAGATCCAATTACCATTACTATGCAAAAGAGATGTTTGTAACCACTTTATAGTGTCCCATTCAAACCATAAAGTATTGAGTCTATTTGCAGCAATATTACAAAATGCAATTGTCGGTTAAAGACCGTTAATTGAAATTTCTAACCAAATCACAAGGCATTGGTTCATACCTATCTCCATTGCAAAGAAGCTGTTATTGACCAATATTTGGAATTTTTCACACAAACCATGAAACAGTAAATTCATTCCTACCATTACTCCAGTATTCTGTCTGTTTGTAGTCGATACTATATTTGGATTACTTTACCTGGACAAAAGGTTTTAGATCGCCTCTCACAATTGCTCCAAGATACAATGTCTATTAGTGGTAGATGTTTGGAGCATCTCGTCCGGCCCGTTGGGCCTTATATCCATTCCCAGATTGTTGTAATGCGTGATGTTGAGTAATGCCATTACCCGTACCATCCCATTTGGACCATAATACCTTTGATCCTTTCCCGTTACTACTGCTTCGCGAATTGTTGCTTAGCGATCGTTCTTTGGAGCATACTACCTGAATCGTGAGACCTTAGGACCATTTTCATAACTCTCCGTGTAATGTCGGGTAGCAGGCATCTGTTGTATTGTGAGTCATTGGTACATTTCCACCACAACTTCAATGCAAATACCAGGTAGCAGGCATTATTTGGAGCATCCCTTCCAACCATGAAGCATTATGTCTATTGCCATCACCACTATAAAGCGCATTTATTACAGCCATTACCGCAAAGTTCCACCTTGATCACAACGCCTTAAGTCCGTTTCCACCATTGTTTCAATGCACAATATCAATTAGTCACGAATAAAATTTGGAAAACTCCAAGTTTGAAGGATTTTTATTACCTTACAGTTCTTTCAGACAGTTGCATAAGCGCGTTGCATAGAGAATTTGGGCGAAAATTCTGTAATTGTGTAAGATTTGTTATCGTTAAATAATAGGTGAAATATACAATTCTTTCAGGTATATCCAGGGATAATGCAACAAATATTGTTGGATGGTTATAATACTACAGTTAATCTTTGTGAGCATGCGGCTTGACTGCGTTTCTTTATGCCAAAACAGAGTATTTAATTAATTAAAGAATTTTTCGGAGGACGGTTCGTTCGGATATGTCACTCCGTCCCCTACCCGGTTGCCCCATTGTGGTCTGGCCGAACCAACAATGGACTTGCTAATAAAGGCCGCCTTGGTGCCCACAGGACGGAAAGGGATAACCAATTGCATACAATATAAATTGGACACCTGTCGATTAAACTTATCTACAAACTGATTATTATATAGTATTCCCTACCCATTGTACGAATCGCATCTAGTTATTCTAGTCTTAGTCATTAGACTTAAGATATAGAGCGCCTCCGCCGGCGGGTTCCGGAACTACCAAACTTCGATTCTAATAATTGTCCATCTGATTTAGTTTTGTGAATTTTGTAACGGCTTTGCGCGGGAACTTTTAATTTATTAGAATGAAAGATGAATGTGTTAAGGAATGTGAATTTTGTACTGTTATTCTCAGCTGCCAGGAGGCGTCACACAGTTCCGCGCCTTTTTTGTACCGATTTCCGCCATGTTACGAACTAGTACAGAAAGCTTGTGTTGTATTGTATATTATTAATTATAAGAGATCTTCAAGATCTTGGATCCCAAATTGGAGAAGGTGATCGTGTTTGTCATTTATTACTCTTACTGTCTTCCAAGTATGATGCAGTCGTGACTGCTTTGGAAACGGTGGCAGAAGTCAAAATTGATTTTGTCAAAGCAAGATTATT